GATCTGATTCTTGGTGGATGGTTGCAGCTGATTGAAAAGGCTTACCTCGTTAATCTGAAAATTGCTTACAATGCATGCAATACTTTTGTCTAGAATAAGTATGTTAGCAAGGAATACTGACTACATAATGGCATCTTTGGAACAAAGTAGAAATCAGCGAACTGGTGATTGAATGTGTAAGTTACTACAGAGCCTCGTCTAGGAAAAATATGAATGTTTTTTTTTTTCTAATAATAAGCATCCATGTGATAAGTTGATAATCACAAGGCAAATAAACTATTTTTCATTAATCATTTTCTCCCCCAAATGATTGTATTACATCATAATTTAAAGGAAACAAAGATCAAGTAAGTATAAATGAATTACAACTTCCTAAAAGACTCTCACCATATTCTAAATGGACTTAACAAATTTCAAAGTAATTAAAAGTGCACTGCCATTATTATTCCAATTCCAATGCATGTGAGCAATTTCCAAGTTGTATGCTTGCTCCCGCATCACTTTCTGTTCCGAGGGTGCATGATAACAGAACTTGGGTTGATAGTTTTTCTTCTGGTTGTGCCATCTTATTAGTTTGTTGGTCTGTTCTGCATTTGTGGTGGCTTGGTTTTTTCAGGTTGTTTCTATTGTTTTTCTGATCTGATCCTGTTGTTTCAGTAGGTCAAGCATATCGTGATATAGCTTATTTCCTGGATAATTATTTTAATGGTTATTATTATTAAACAGATTGTGGGATTGGCAAAGGCGATGATGAAGCACAGTTTGAAGATAGAAGGCTTAGGAGATGTGGTTGACATTGTTGGAACTGGTGGTGATGGCGCAAACACAGTAAACATTTCCACAGGGGCTGCAATACTTGCTACAGCTTGTGGTGCAAAAGTTGCAAAGGTAACATCCATCTATATTGATATTGTGATATTTTTGTGTTTTGTTTCTCGTATCAAAGTTAATACTATCAGACAATTGTTTGTATCTCAGCAAGGAAACCGTTCGAGTTCCTCTGCATGTGGAAGTGCCGATGTATTAGATGCTTTGGGGATAATAATTGATTTGGACCCTGAGGTTGGTGCACTAAATATTTTATTTTTAAAATGTTCAAATAAATGTGCAGTTGTGATCTCAAATTTGGCCAGACAGATGCTCATTCAGGTTGGGATTGTTCTTGAAACAGGGGGTAACTAGATGTGTGAACGAAGTAGGCATTGGCTTTATGATGGCACCCAAATATCATCCAGCAATGCATATTGTCCACCCTGTCAGAAAGAAACTGAAAGTAAAGACCGTGTTTAACATATTGGGACCCTTGTTGAATCCAGCAAGAGTACCTTTTGCTGTTGTTGGTGTATACAAGGATGACTTGGTGAGTGTTTATTCTTAGAATTTTAGCATTAACGATGATAACTTGGAGAAGGTTGGACTTTACACTATAACTACTGAGCTGCATGTATCTGGATAGGTCTTAAAGATGGCCAAAGCTTTGCAAAGCTTTGGAATGAAGAGAGCATTAGTCGTTCACTCTGAAGGCTTGGATGAAATGAGTCCACTTGGTAAAATTCCTTTTTTATTTTAGATTACGTCCGAGCTAATACAATATCATCACTATTTTTCTTTTAGTTTAACATAAAGCCTCACTTTTACGTGATTGATTTGAATATAGGACCCGGGCATATCCTTGATGTGACTCCTAATAAGATTGAGGAGTTCTCCTTTGATCCATGTGAGAATCTTGTCTCTAGTTTTCGACTGTTGATTCTTGTACTTAAAGTTTGTTGGATGATTTTTTTGTTCAACTCACTGTTCTCATCAATTCGTAATTTTCCCTGTATACAGTGGATTTTGGAATTCCTCGCTGCACCTTAGATGATTTGCGGGGTGGAGACCCGGAGTATAATGCTGATGCACTAAAGCGTGTATTGTCAGGGGAGAAGGGTTCCGTTGCAGATGCATTTGTATGTTTCCTTAATCGTTACAACAAAATATGAACTTTGTTACTTTCTTCCTATGTTTGATAAATCTACTCATTACAACTATTGGCCAGATCTTAACCGCTGCAGCAGCTCTCTTGGTCAGCGGTCGGGTGAACACCTTAGCTGAAGGTATCTCTTTGGCTCGTGAAACACAAATGTCAGGGAAAGCTATTAGGATCCTTGACCAATGGGTAGCAATCTCCAATGTAAGTGGTCTCGCCATATATTCGTATCTTCATTTTGTGATTAAACGTATCAATTTCGTTAATCCGTTTTGTTTAATGACTGCAGACAATGATTAAGGATACAATTATTTACTAAGGACGATGTCTGGTACGTGTTTGGATATCAGATTCGACGATGAAGACCCATTGTAGAGTCAACGCAGTTAAAGGTCGTACCCAGTGCACAAGGCTCCCGCTTTACGCAAGGTCAACGCAGTTGAGAGAACAAAATAAGGGAAAGGGTTGTATTTTGTATAATTACTGTTCTCTGTGTTTTCTCTCTTCCTCTGCAACTCGAAAACCAAGTGTTATGAATATGTGAAACAATGGAAGCAAATAAGTTTCAAAGTTATGTTTACATCTCTCTCTCTCTCTCTCTCTCTCTCTCTCTCTCTCTCTCTCTCAATGCATACATATGCTAAATTCTACATCCATTTCAATAATGTTTCTTTGTAATCCAAGCTAGTAGACACAACAGTAATCCTGCAAAAAAAAAAAAAAAACTCATTAATAATCAGAGACCAAAGTTATATCATTCGAAACTAGTTTGTGCGTTTACAAGGTTGCTAAAATGACAAATTTGACACGAATCGTTGTACTATAACGATGAGCAGAAGAAAGTACCTCTCAATGTGTAACTCTCCACCATAGGGTATGTTCTTGTTGATGCCGATTTTACTGCACATCAGACAGAACAATCATCAATTAAGTTACGCACTAATAAATGACTAGGCGAGCAAGCTAGGATCGTATAGCCGTCTCTTAATGCTCAAATACGAATACACCTACTCGTAAATTAGAGTCGTTTAAAATATACAGATTGCGTAGTTAAGTCATAGAAAGGAGAATCATGATGGGGATGTCTAACCGGAATCACAATTTGATGTGGAATTGAAGCTCCCACACATACACAATTGCTTAATGCCATCGGTACCGTAACCGCACGTGCCACCGGTTGCCTCACACGCTCTACAAAACTCATCGTTTTCTTGAACAGAATACTTCACTCGGATACCATAAGACCACCCGTGGGCCCCATCGAGCTTCAGTGGGGCCAGATTGTAAGCACTGCTATACCCTTGACACTGAAGCTTGGTGAGATTAACGGCCTTGATGGCCTCAAACGGCACTGCACAGCACTCAGGTGGGCCCAACCCAGACCAGAAGCCCACCCTCCTATGGCCCAACGAATTCCACGCTGGACAACCATAGTACTCCTCGCAACTCATGCCGGAAACGTTTCTGCATGGCAAGTGCTTCCCCGGAAAGCCTTGGAAGAGCGGCGACTGAGCCGAGCAGCCGATCAGCATGAACACGTTGTCGGCGGTCGGGTTCATGTACGGGGCCCGCCATTGCTCGACGGAGAAGCCGTTGCCCTTGGCACCTAGCACCATGTTGTCGCATGTTGACATGTGAGGGTCGTGTAACGTGAGGGCTTGGTAAGCGTAGTCTATGTCCAAGACTCTGTAAGATCCCGAGCTTATGTGAAACATGAGCACATCGTTGATGCAGTATAAGAGATCTCGAAAACCCGGGTGGCCGCAGCCGGAGTGGACGGCGAACGGGTAATCTACGGTGAGGTTTCCGCAATACGATCTGCAGGTGTTGGCCGAACTTGATGGAAGAAACGAAGAAAATATGAGACAGAGGAAGCTGGAAATTATGAGCATAGTTGTAGTAGTATTGCTACTCATGGAAGCAAGTGAGAGAGAGTTTTGAGTGAGAGGTGTGGTTGGTGATATGAGTGACCTTGTGGATAATGCAAATGAATGATACCTTGCTTGGATGATTTGAGAAATATTTCAGTGTGCTGAGAACATGAGCTGGTATATAAAATGTTATAATATAAGTGGTTGAAATTATTTTTTTAAACATTTACTTACTTGTATTATGACACTTAATATATCAATTTGTATTCTCTACTGACAGAAAAATCTCTCCTTGCTTGAATGATTTGCGTTGAGAATTCCTTTTGGCGAGTTGTTTATGGGTTTTGCTCCTCTTTTTGGTGGGAGAATTATTTGTTTATAAAACTTTAGTGTATGCTTTTGAAAAATTGAAATATTGCAGAAGCTTTAGTTTGCTTTTGGGTCTTGGGAGGGTAATAAAATTGCATGAAATGATTCCGATGGGGTTGCATTATGTTCCATTGTTTTTGCTTTTCCATGACTACTTAACAAAGAAGGTGAAATAAAAAAATAAAATAAAATAAAATAAATAAAAAAACAAAAAAAACAAAGAAGGTGAAATAAAAGCATATGAAAACTAAAAGGTGATATTAATGGTAATGCTTGTGTCCACTTGTTCTTTCCCTTACGATTAACAAATCTTTATTATCTGAACATTATAATTAGAATCGTTCATTCTTTTCATATCTACAAAAAAAAAAATATTCAATTTGGAGACCGTTTAGTTATCCCTACGTGTTAAACCAATAAATTTTTTTAGTAACAAGTAGTATTATCATGATGCACCGTTTATTTGTTTTGTGCTATAAATGATTAAAAGCTCCAAATGAATATTTTTTTGCATATATGGTCTATAGATGATAAAAAGAATGAATAGTTTCGATTATGATATTCGGACAGTAAAGATTCATTCATCGTAAGTAAGAGGACAAGTAAGTTCTCTTATGGAGGACACAAACATTATCCGAGATGAAATTACTGACAAAAATTTCCTTCTACGTCCTTTGTGGAAACATAAATTAACCACGCCCAATCAAAGTTGACCACGTGGATAATGAGCTTTGATATGGCTAAAATACTCATGATGGCGTGAACAAACCACCATCTCAACCCTAATGCCAAACGTCTGAAGAAGAAAGAAAAACAACGACGCGTCGTTTTTGTGATACTCACTTTGACTATTGAAGTTTCCACGTGCCACCGCACACGAGCGAGAAAATCTGGCGGTGGCGGAGACTCATTACCACCGTCCGCATTGCCTCTTACCTTGTGTTTGGCTGCCCTGAATAACAGTAACTCTTAACTGCATTCTGCTTTCTATCTTCTGTTTGGCTGAAAATTTTCTCGGAAACCAAACACCATAGTGTTATAGAAGGCCTTCTTTCTCTTTGGGTGGTTCATGTAAATAGCATACTGTTTGATAAATGGAAGCTCCCGAAGACCGCGTCTCAAACGTAATGGATCATCCTTTGCTAACTTTACTTGCTGAAAATCCTTTCAAAAATTCAACTTTTCTGCTATTCTGATATGATAATTCTCCAAAAACGTTAAATTTATGATCATCATTTCTGGGTCAAGTTTATGATCATTGATCTTAGCGTAACTTGTTTAATTGGGTCCTCAAAAAATGTTAAATTTGGAGAATTTGAAACTTGGGTTTGATTTGCTAAATGTTATTGGAACTTGGGGTTTATCATATTCGAATTGCCCACCATGTGTTTGATGAAATTCCTGTGAGAGTGACGATGGCATTGTTTTCTTTGAATTAGCATTCTCCGAAACTAGCAGGAACTGTCAACTGGGGCACGGCGACTGTCATCGGGGTGTTTGCAGGCTTGTTTTACGGTGGTAGCAAGGAAGCAGCTGCTTCAGTTGTAAGTTTGTATCTAAATTAACAATGTTCCAAAGTGCTTGTTTAATGCTTTGTAGTTAGTCATGACAATGTTTGAACAACTGAGGTGTTTGATTAGTGTTGTAATCTTCGAAAAGATTGGATATCGACAGACATATTTGATTGGCAGAGCAAAGATGCAGAAGTAATGTTGAAGCTGGGGAGCACGCCAGACAAGCGTGAACAATATCGTCTCATGAGAGATGCAATGGAGAAGAGGTTCATTCGTGTCACTCGGGGCTCGATAGTTGGTGGAGTGCGTCTTGGATTGTTTACTGCAACTTTTTGTGGTATGCAGAATCTGCTTGCCGAGAAAAGGGGCGTGCATGATGTTTTCAATGTTGTTGGAGCCGGTTCAGCCACTGCTGCTACGTTTGCTCTAATAAGTACGAGTCATATCTGATCTTTGGGCTTCTTTTGGTTAACTGGTTGTTGTCATTGGGCATGTGCCGAAGCATCGACTTCTGAGTGGATGCTTGTGGCCCTTTCAGAATGTTGAATTAAAAGTAATTCAATGGAATGCAATGTCTTCTCGTTATATAACATTTGTTTCCTACTTCAACCAGTGCCAGGATCGTTGGCTTGGCGAGCAAGAAACGTGATGTTGGGTACTGCCCTAGGGGCGGCGTTTGGTTTTCCACTTGGTAACACTTTCAACCATGTCATTTTCCAAGTGTACATTCAGTCGATTCTATAGTCGCTAACATGGGTTGATGCATTTCGTGGCAGGGTGGGCCCATTTGAAGCTGGTAGGGAAGGCAAATGAAGGGAATCTGGCTGCACATCCTGATTCAGATCAAAGAGAAGCAAGGAGTGGTGTTGGTGCTGCAATTGACAGGCTGGAAGAAAACTTGAATAAGTAGAACAGAAGATTCAGCGAGGCAAGACTTCCCCGCTGCCCAGCACTAAAAGAGAAGGATGGAACTCGAGAAAAAGTAGTAAGATGAGCTAAGAACTTTGCACTATTTGTTGTTGCGTTTATTGAGGAATAACGACACTTGGTGAATATTTTGAAGGTGTTTTCATTAAAAAGTGTTATGATAATTGCAAACACAATCATGGAATTGTATTTTTGAGCTATTCCAGATCCACCCAAAAAATGAATTCGTCAACGTAGAAATTGTTTGCAGATGGGTTGTCGTTGCAACCGGGGGACTCGAGACGCCATTTTTGCTCACTCCCCCAATCCCTCGTCTTCTTTCTTCTCTTCTAATCAATCAATGAGTGGCGACCACGGCTTGAGTTAACTTAAGCACCATTTCATTATCCTTCCTTGGCTGCAACATACACAACGGTTAGAGCCGCGAAAGCAACACTAATCAAACTACGAAAGCATTTTCATTCGTTTGTGGAGAGCACCTTGCTGTATAACGGCTTATTTCACATCCTTCAGGCTGTCCCGGGGCTTCTTCATCGCCCTCTTTACTTCCCTAGCTGTAATGTTGTCCATAACTAAAGGTGAATACTGGAAATAAAAATGGGATGAACAAGCAGATATACATTACAAGAGTAAAATAAAGGGAACTTTAACGAAAAGTTCTCGGTACTGTTCACTGTAACGAAAAACCACATTTTTACGCTAAAAAGTCAATCCTGATACCATTCACTTTACCCTTTATTTTGTCATTTTTGTTAAAACTCAAAGTTTTCAAACATTTTTCATTAGTTTTCCTTAAAATAAATGCTACTACACGTCCAATTGAAAGACAATCCTAGAAATATTTTCTTCAGCAAGTCATTCGACCAGATGATTATTCAGCTTGTGCGGAACATAAGCTGTCATCTGGCCGAAAGAGTCGAATGTTCCTAACCACTAGTAACCCCAGGATAAGCATGGGGACACTAGTGGTTACGAACTACCTCTTTCGTGGGGCATGCCTAGGTTTGAGCTTCGCTTGTAAGGCCGCAAGTATTTGTCACTAAGAAGAAGAAATGAAAAGCGAAGAGGATAATCTAACTTTTTGTCGTCCAAACTTACCTTTAAATTTCCTTTTCTTGTTAGCTCTCCTCCGCTTTCTCTCTGCCTGTGTAAGCTCTGTTTCTTCTTTGATGTCACCTTTGCCGGAAAACACTTCCTCAGGAGCTAGCATTGCTGCATCAGACACGGCCACAGGTGCAATCTGCCCAGTGAAGAGATAACACACACTTCAGTTATGATTGTCAACTTTATAGTAGAAAAAGTAGAGTTCACATTACCTCTTCCATTGCTAGAGCAGGGACATTGGCTTGTACCGACATATCCTCGATAACCTACCAGATAGCGTACATCGAGTCCAAGAAAAAGCAATTAACAAACTACATAAGTATACACTGCATGCATATAAACAAATAAATTTTATGACTGAGAAGCATACAGGTTTTGGAGTGAAGTGGAAATGAGAGAGAGCATCCAACTTCAAGCAAAGTTTCTTGAACAGCTTGCTTGCCTGATCAAAGATAGCGACCGCAAGGTTAGTAAATGAGCACCTTTAGGAAAATATAAGGATAGAAAATGTAGAACAAAATCTAAATATATACTCATATAAACACATACATATATTAGTATATACATGTGTAGACCTGTAAACGGGTCGGGTTTATCGGGTTTGGGTCGGGTTTATCGGATTTTGGTCGGGTTTAATTCGACCCGTTAAGTTAACGGGTCATCCGAACCCAACCCGTTAAACTAACGGATCACCCGTTAACACCCGTTAACAATTATTATTTTTTTTTTGGCATACAGTTTATTTTTTGTTGTTAAGACTTTACTGAAATTACTAAAACATCCTCAACTAACGGGTGCTAACGGGTCTAACGGGTTGACCCAAAGTGAACCGTTATTTAACGGGTTCACCCATTAGCGACCCGACCCATTAATCATCCATCCAAATACTAATATTAACGGGTCGGGTTAACGGGGTCGGGTCCAAAATGCCAGGTCTACACATGTGCATACATGGAAATTAATTTCCAACTATTACACAAATGAAACAACAAAAGATAGAAGAAAAAAGATAAAAGCATGCACCTCGTCCTTCTGTTTGTCTGTTAATGACAATGGAGCAGAAGACAAACTCGTCTTTTGAACATACTCTTCCTGCAGAAAATTGAACAACAAAAGATTGTTACGTTTCTCAATTAGATGTTAACATGGACGGAAATCCAGCTTAAGGAGATCAAAACTTGGAAGCATGTTGGGCAGCTTATCTAGTGATGCATTTTGCATCAGGAGCACCATACCTCATAGACGTCGGCAAGACCCTTCTTGCTCTTATTCTCGTCCTACACATTGAACAAAAAGGATCAGACAAATTGAACAAGTTGCTTCATTAAGAAACAATGGATCGAAATTAGAATGCAAATATAGCAAAAAATAATGCTTACCAACTCTTTAAATTCTCTTGGTGCTTTAGAGGGTAAAGTAGGAGCCTTTTGAACATCATCAAACCGCCCCTGTAAAAGACATTAACTGCAGTTTTAGAACTGGTTCTGTTCCACACACACACACACACACAGAGTAGAAGAAACAAGCAACAATATAAATCAAATGGCAACAAAAGAAATAAAAATTGACCGTTGAAAAAAAATATGAGAATTAAATTTCATTTCTGACTTATAGGGATCAATATAAATTGTCGAAAACTTTCAAGTAGAGGTGAGCGATCAAAATGCGGTTCATAAAAAATAGCTAACTTTGAACTGAACATTTTAGATAAGAAAAAGATGGCAAGAAAACAAAGCCCCGGAATGTATTCACTCAAGATGTTGTTTACCTCCTCGATCCTTTTCTTGATCATATCCTCAATTGATGTTGTAACCTCCTCTGTGATTACTGGGGCAGGTCTAACATTGTGTTCAAAATCCAGATCAACTTCTAGCGCGCTATTCTTTGGCCTTGTCGCTGCAGTTACCTGTTTCCCAAAGCCACAATTGAAATATGTAATTCATTTAAAGATACATGGTATCATGACAATGACATAACTAATACGACTATTGTCCGGCATAGAAATAAAAAAGAACTGTAGAAACAGAAAAATTACCTCTCCCTGCATGATCCAGCTTTTTGGCTCCAGATTTGCTTTTTCCATCTCTTCTATTTGGGATTGAAGCTTCTTAAGCTTCTTTTCATGGGTCGAAAGGGCTGTTTGCTTGTATATTAAAAAATATAAAAATAAATGAGATAAAACTCCTTTTGAGAATATGGAGAATCTACAACTGCAAGACCATGCTCTCAAATTCCGTTACATTACTTGGCTTGAAAGTACCTTGTCATCTTCTTGTTCATTTTCATCTCCTTCTTGATCATCTTCATCTTGATCATCTTCCTCCTCGTCTTTTTCATCTTCTTCTCCATCGTTTGTCCCCAAATCTTCTGATTCATCAACCAACTTTGATCTCCGTTTAGAAGGCTTTTCCTTTTTTCCTCCATAGAAGTCTTCATATCTGTCGCACACAAGCAACAGTTAAGCTTAAGCATATACTAATAGAGACATACATGCTCACAATACATATTCACAGATGAATCACATATAATGGATGCACTGACAAAGAAATAACTAAACTGTATACGGTATACCAGAGAAACAAATGCGGATGAACCATAAATTTGCAATCAATTACTGACTGATCCATATGCATATAATCAACAATCGTACAATAAACATAGAAACGAAAAGAAAGCAATTAGGACAAATGATAAATGTAGCACCTTGCAAACTTGTCTTTGTCATCCTCATCGTCGCCAATGGCCAAATCTCCAAGCTAAATTGACAAAACAAGATCGAGTTAGAAACCGAAAAAGACATAGCTTTCAGCGAAATTCATAGAGCCAAAACCCAACAAACATAACATTTAAGCACATCCTCACCCCCTCATCTTCTTCATCCTCGTCGTCTTCATTGTCGTCGTCATCCCCTCTCTTCTTTTTCTTCTTATCGGTCTTATCTAGCCCATATTCCATTGCTTCACTTTCCTCCAAAGACTTCTTCAAATCCTTTATCTTGAAAAACCCATCCTCTATCGCATTATTACCTTCCCCTTCGCTTTCACTTTCCTCTCTCTCCTCGTCATCCTCTCTATCTACCTCCTCACTCTCACTCCCTTCATCTTCTTCCTCTTCCTCCTCCGCCTCCTCGTCGTCACCTTCGTCGTCAAATCCATCCAATTCCTCGTCAAAGCCCCCGATTTCCGCCTTCAAACCCTGGTTCCCAGCTTCCAGAACCTTCTCCTCCCCTTGCACGACCACCTTCAGCGTCTTAATCTCGTCCGGGTTCTTCTCAAGCTGCTTCAAATCGCGGCGGAGGGTCGAGATGAGCGGCTGCGATTGGAGGTCAATTTGCTGCCATATCTGCTCGGCGTCGAATCCGTCGACCAAGAGTTGATCGAACGGCGATTTGGGCGTGAACGGCCTGATGGAGGAGAAGAGGCTCTGCAGGGCGGCTCGAGCCGTTTGAGAGAGCGCGGGGCTCGGCGCCAGTAGCTGCGTCGGTTCTGTGGCTTTCAGGGAGTTCAGGGCGTCGGTTTTGATCGCCATAGATGGAGCGAAAATGCGAGCTTTTGGATTTGTGTTCTGTTTCTGACAGCCGGTTCGGGGTTTAGGGTTTTAGATGGGAGGGAGCAGCTATTGTCTACGTGTCGATATTTCATTCGCTAATAATTTGAAAAATATTTGGCCACTGTAAACAGAAAATCAAAAACGAAATATTTTGCCTTTGTTTTTTTTTTTTTTTTGATAGGATATTTTGCCTTCGTGATCCATTTCATTTTTATAAAATCCTAAAAAATTACAAAATAAAAAAAATATATATAAATCTTTAATTTAGTAGTATTTTTCTTTTTAGTGTCGAAAAGAGATTATAACGTTGTTCTTTTGAGAAGTAATATGCACAGTCAATCATTTACAAACAAGTGACGGGATTTTTACCAACGCTATGACGATCTGTCCTTAATTTTCTATATAATTTTATCCTTGAGTGTGTAAATTGACAGTTATGCCCTTTTTGGCAAAAGTGGAACCTGACGTGAATGTACTTATTCGGCTTTTAATTATTTTTCCCGTTGTTTATGCACTTTAAATA